CGCATTGGCAGTTGGCTCGGGTAGATGTATGGAGGGGACTTGTCGTTAACATATTGTGGCATATTTATTTCTTTCATCCCGCTGCTGTCGCCATTCTCTTCGCACGTCAATTTCGCCAGCAGAGGAGAAAAAAAAAAATAAAGATGGCAGAAAGCAAAAACAAAATGAGAGGCAGCCAAAACGAACGAATTCCTTTTGTACGTGCTCTTACATTTCATTGTTGGGCTGCGGGAGCTGCCGCGGATGGCAGGCTAGGCGCAGGGGTGCCATCAGTGGCAGCAACCTTCAAATGTCGCCTCAAATGCGACTCGATGTCGATACAATAACATTTTGGCCTGTATTTTCTTTTAGAAGTTATCCATTATGTGGGGTATTCCGAAATAGTCACTCAATTTTGTGGGAAATATTAGAAGTAGTTCGATAAAAGATATTAACGCAATTCTTATGTATTTAGTTTATCTAAGAATATTAATGTGCATTTTATATTATGTATACATTTAATTAAACAAAATAATAAAAAAGATCATTGTTATTAATGTCTTCCAAAATTCGGTCTGTTTAACTTTTATGCTTGATGATTTAGTAGAGTATTTTTGTCACATACTAAACCTTTATTTTCCAGCTTGCTTCATTTTGGCTTTCGTTGTTTTTGTGTATTTTTGCCGCTATCGCAATGTGGCATGTCAATTTATTTGTCAAAGAGAAAAATAAGGCAGGTAAAAGTGTAAGCAGGTAGAAAAGCAATGGCAATAGCTGAAACATAAAAGCGTCACAGATACGAGAGCAAACGACGAAGGCGAAAACAATGACAGCCTTAAGTTGCCAGCTATTCTGGTATGCATGCGTGTGTGTGTGTGAGAGCCCATGTGTGTGTATATGTCCAATTGGGGGCGTGACTCGTGTGTCTAGTTTGTGTGCGGCTGTGTGTGATGGCAGCTTTAAGCACTCGCGGGCTATGCCTGCCAGCAAAGCAATCGATATTTATAGTTATGGTAATCGCATCGAGAGAATCGAGAAGCATGCCCAGTCCCCGCCCAACGGATGAGTATCACGTTGGCCCAAAGATAAGAAATAATATCGTACATTGGCATGAAAATACATGCAGGCATATAAAATGTTAGACTCCATCATATTTCTCGGTTGCCGTGACACCAGGGGTGAAGCTTCCTACTTTTTTTTTTTTTTTGCTCTGAATTGTAGCATTTAGTTTTAATCTATCAATTTTTAGAGCAAGCATATTTTTACTTCGTTGGGAATAAAGCTGTGGCCCTATGATGCGTGTGGTAGGCCATACTTGGCGCTCTCCACTTCCTTGCTAAAATGTGATATGACAGCTAAGAGAACTGACAGCTTAAACAGTCAGCTCTAATAATAAAACCCTGACACGAATTCCTAATGGCAGCTCAACTGAAGACAGCTTTGTTAATTAGGATTACGCCTAAGGCTGTACATTCGTTAATTATAAGCAGCGAAAGGTTAGCAAGAGAAAAAGAGTGTGTTATTTTTTAAATTCTTTTTGCTAGACTCTATTCTATAACTATATTCTAAACAAGACGTGTTTTCAGTCGTCAATCATGTGTTAAAATATTCTACACGTCTTTCATGATTGGAAACATCTATTAAATTATTCCACACAAATTACTCGAACCTGCTAAGCATTGTGTTTTGCCCATGACGCAGTTGTCGAAGTCTTAGATGCTGCTTAGCAAATTTTCACAGATCATTTTCAAAATTTGCTTCAATTGGCAGCTTTTCAATGTTACACTGCAAAGAATTCTGTATGAATATATTTTAAAGCTGTGTTTTATTATTATTTGAAAAACACCGAAAGCCCAACATACAATTTTAGAATAATTATCATGAATGCTGTACAATATTCAATTGTATTTTAAAATGCGTTTTTTCTTAGTGTATCAACTGTGAGTCATTTGCAGCTCTCATTCAATTGACTTTGACTGCGCAATGATGTGAACCGTGTAGATGCTTAACTTGCTCAGCTCATTTTGTCGATAATGTGCTGCATTATTGACAGTTTATTAAATTGATTTCGTTTCGAATTTAACAAACATGTCATGCTGCATCGTCATCGGTATCATCATCATCCTTAACTTCATCATTCGAGGCGCACGCACAACTTGCCATGACAAAAGCAGCTTCTCCAGTTGCCGCCACCCCTAAGCCAATTGAAGGTTTTCCCCCACAATGGAGAGTATAGCTACCCGGTATGCTGCTTCAACTCATATGTGACTTTTTATTGCAAATGTCTGCTTGTGGGTGTGTGCTGGGGCCAAGTTAAGTGCTCATAAAATATTTGCAAATGTTTCTACTGCGCGCCGACACACGACATTTTAAAGCATACTCACGGGCGTTGAAAAATGTTGATTTTTTTGGTTTCTAATGCTGTCAATTAGGCCCTGTAAATAGTTAAACGCTTTGCCAAACAATGGCCCATTAACAGACACAAGCTCTGCAATTGTGCTTACCTCCAAACTCAACCAACATGGCTACAAAAAACAAAAAGTTCTTGTTTTTGCTATTCCCGATTGTTGGTTTTTCACTTTTTCGACTGGAAAGTGGTCAAAGTTTATACGCTCAGCGCGTGTCCATACGTAATGTGTGTGTGTGGACATTTATCCACAATAAACTCTCATAAAACTTTTTCTTTTCCCTGTTGCCTTTGCTGCCAAAACATTTAACAAATTAATTAGCCAAAGGAACGAATCATTTTGCATTTGATATGCGAAAAATGCGAAATGCCACATTGAAAAGTTTTTGAGAAAACAATTACAAAACTGGTCACACAACTCGGGAACTACATAGTTGGATGTCTAAAGAAAAAACATGTCCCTTTGAAAAATCTAAAAATAAAATTGCACATGCATAAGATATTGATAAATTGCGGATATTCATTAAATTCAATTCCCTTTAGAAAAGGGAATTTTAGTTACAAAATATTTTTCAGCTCAAAAAACAGAGGCTGAAGCAACGAATGAAATCCAAAAGCAACTAGTCCCTGAAAACGTATTAAAAAAAAGGAAACTAAGGTCCTTAATTAAAATATAGCACAAAGCCTGAAAGTTATGGAAATCCGAAAATACGCAAGAATATTTGTATTTGCTAACTATCATTAACTGCTTCTACCTAAAGTGAATATATTTCTAAGGCACATAGCTTTTTGTTTTTTCTCTGTATAGGCGCTATTTGTTCAATTCATGGAGAGGAGAATCAAATACACATACATGCACAGATGGAAGCAACAACAAGCATGGGCAGAACGACAGCCCATTTGTAGTGTTGTCTATATGAAGTATTTGCCAAGTAGGTGGCTCTGGTGTAAAACAGGAAATGAAGTATACTTTTAGGCGCACTCCACGCACGCAAACTAACACCCATACCAACATACACAAAACACACGCACACAACGTATACAGGCAGATACGTTTACATAAGCAGAACGACGTGTGTTACGTACAAAATTGTTATTTATTTTTTGAAGTGCTTCGCAAGCATGTGTTTGTGTGTGTATACTTGAGAGCAGGTGGCCTCGTATCTGTATCTGTATTTGTATCTGTGTACACACCCGCAAATACATTTGGCGCGCCCACTCACACACACACACACACACACACACACACACACATGTAGTGCGTTCTGCTACATTGTGCATCTAGTTTGCTATTCGCCGTCACATTTGCCAAATTTACCGTGTAATTATCAGCAAAAACGAGAGACGCGTTTAACGCTACCCAAAATGCAACAAGAAATGCGCAAATAAAACCCCTACCTAGCAAGTCTCTCCATGCTGTCTGTTGATATGCAAATTTTGTAGCTTTTCATATCTTTGTATCTCTGTTACTGTTGGCTTTATTTGTTTGTCTAACTGGCAAGTTTGTCCAGGCGGACCGACGGATAGACCAGCCGAGCGCCTAAACGTTTGAAATTCGTTTTGAATTTTCATTTTCATTTCTACCTGTTTTTCTCATCACGTAGAGCGGAGCTTTGGTTGACTGCCAACAAATGCAACGAGACCAACAATAAAGCAATACAAACGTCAGCAGAAACGAATTGCGAATAAAACATTATTTTTAGTTACATATTTTCAGGTTGTCTATTTCAAATAAAAATTTAACATGCCTCTTTTGTAATCTGTAAGCATTACAGTAAACTATATATTTTGATTTTTTTTCTCATATATTTTTATATCCTGAACCCATTAAAAATGGGTATAAGGGTATATTGTATTTGTGCAAAATCCAAATGTATGTAACAGGCAGAAGGAAGCATCTCCGACCCCATAAAGTATATATACTTGATCAGCATCAATAGCCGAGCCGATCTAGCCATGTCCGTCTGTCTGTCAGTCCGTCCGTATGTATGAATGCAAGGATCTCAGAACCTATAAGAGCTAGAAACTTGAAATTTTAGATGTAGGTGCTCCTAGTGCCTGCGCAGATCGAGTTTGTTTCCGATAATCGATGACTTACGCCATTTCTAAGCAATCGATACAAATCGATATCGATATCCTGTTTTTTGGGCAATTTTGGTAAATAATAAAAGCTAGAGTCACCAAACTTGACATATAGCTTCTAAAATAGAATATATATATGCATTTGATGTTGGAAGAAGAGGGTTCAGGGTATTCCCTAGTCGGGAGCTCCCCACTAGAACCAGTTACTTGTTTGATATGTAAAATTGCGCCTACGCCACTTGTTCACTTGCCGTTGCCTGTGGCTACTATAATGTAATCAAATTGAGTAATTTTTCGATTTGCACAAATCCATTTGCAAAATCCCGATACGCATAACAAAGTCAGCGCTAAGCGCCCTTGTCAGTTGATTTAATTATGCAGAAAATATAAGTCGCGTATTACGTAATATTGTTAAAGTGTAACACAAAATCTAAATAAATTGCATACATAATTTATCAAAATAACTATTGACTTAAACAATCGCGATTGGTTCTAATGGCATAGTCAATGCTCACGCCAAGCTCTTTTATTTGATTGTTTTGCAATTGTACTATGACTCATATAATATTTATTGTTAATGCCCAGGAATTATGAAATCAGTTAAGCACAAAGTTTTGGAATTAGATGAAATTATTGAAATACTAAAAATGGATGAGCCCTAGCCAAGAGCAGCTTAGCTTATGATAACCGAGCATATGGGTCATTCATTTAGATCTATGGATAGCCTGAGGCAAGCAGCTCACCAGCTGCCTTTTTAGAGATTACAACCCTCAGCTGGTGTTCCCATTTTCCACATTTTCCATTGAAGCACCCAACCTAAACAATACCAAAAACTATTCGATACATAGTTGAGAAACAATAGCACTGTGGTTTTTCTTCCTTCTTTCGTTCTTCACCCCCTTTTAACCATTTTGCTTTACGCATTTATGAGTGAAGTGATTTCCGTTGTAGTTCAGCAGTCGTGCTCAGAGAGTTGCCTGCAAGTGCTTCGAGCGCCTGTGCATTCAATGGAGTGCACTTTCCGCAAGGAATACTTGAACCCCAAAGAAAAGACGCACAACAATAAAATGTAGTACATGGCTTTTGTTTGGAATACTCGCACCGAGTTATGCATTCAGTCTTGCCAGGAAGCGTTGCATACATATTTGTCAGTTCATTGGCATTGTTCCTCATTTTGCATACAGAGTTCGAGTATCCCCAGCAATTGCTCTAAAATATGGGCTGAATTCCGCTATTGTTTGGATATCATCTATCAAATGAAGTGAATTTCTGTTTTATTGACGCTTGTCATTAACAAAAAATATACACGGGAATTTTCATCGGACAAGCTTAAATTTTTACAGCTGGAAAATGTGATTGGGATGATAGCTAAGGGGACATGGAGGTTACATTTATAAAAATTATTTAACGCTACTTTGCATTTGTACTCACATGTCCTCGCGCGCAAAGCGCAGAGTTTCCACCAAGCGAGAAAGTGGATAAACGCCTGTGCATATGCGATAAATAGTGGTGAAAAGTGGAAATCTATAGAACAATAAAAATGATTAGGTGAGAAATGTTTTTTTGGTACACTTTGCTGCCGCCTACTTGTCTTCAAGTCCTTTCTTTTTAAGCATAATATGTACCAGCTCGGAGGTAATGGGACCCAAAGGTTCATGTCCTGGAACGAGAATGTGCTCCAGTTCGCTTAATGGTTGCCCAGTTTTGACAAAAGCCTCAGCCAGTTTGCGATTGCGATTGGCTACAAAAATGAGTCGTGAATACCGTGGAGTATATTTCAATTATTATAAAGTCTACAATAGCAGCTGGTAACTAGATCCGACAAACCGCACGATTCAAAGAAAGTGGCCAAGCGACTGCCTGGATAAAACACATCCACAAATTGTAAAATCTCCAGAAACCCACGTCTTATAATACCAGCTTTGGTGTTCTCATTTAAATCCATCCCATCTGCACAGCCAGCGCCAAAAGCAATGACATTCTAAGTGCAGGAAAATTCCGAATGAGCTCAGTTATGAATGAGGACCAGACAACTTGCTTACCCTTAGAGAGGAACAGATTTCGACACAGTCAGCATCATCTGTGACGACCACACGAAACGTTGCCGATTTGAATATGTCCTGCAGTATGCGCATATATTTCTGATCCCGGCAGCCGATCGTGCCCTCTGCAAAATTGTCATTGGAAATCTCATGAGCCAGATTGCAGCCTACTAGCACCGAGCAGGGTATCTAAAATAGAAATAATTAATAAATATCCTCTCACTCACTCTCTTTCTAAATATTATACTCACCTTCAACTGTCGCATTATAAGATGAGATATCAAAAGGATTTGACCGTCGTCACCGCGCTCAAATCCCTTTATAAGAGAGACTGCATGAGCCAGGGGCTTCACCTTGCCCAGAAGAGTTTTGCAGCAGCTGCTCACAAATGTTGGTGGTATGGCAAAGATCAGAATGTCAGCATCACGTGCTGTTGTTACCACATCATCCAATGCAAACTTGAGCGATAATCACTGGGTTGGGTTATCTGTTCGTAAGGAGCAGCTGGCGAATAACTTACCACATTCGGCGGCAGTACAAAGTTTGGCATATATTTGACATTGATATGCGTGGTATTGATAATCTCTGTTAATTTTCGGCCATCGATGTACTCCTCGTATACGTACATATTTACCTTAGGTTCCATCAACTGGGAATTGGCCACATTGATGCCCACATTCCGTGCAATAGTCGTGGCCCAGTTGCCAGAGCCAATAATGCACACGTTTAATCGATCAGTCATAGCTTCTCAAAAATTGTGTTTATCTTTTTTAAAAACGAAAAATAACGAGTTCTATAGCAACATCAGTTAGTAGAGCAGTATAAAGTTGTCGATTAATTCAACTATGCCAACTTGGCCTCAGACTATGCCCTTTTCCTGCTTGGAGGTTAATATTGGGTTAAATTTGCAATTCAACTATAGCAGCCACCGTCTCACGGTCAGCCAGTGGGCTTTAAGTGGGGTAATGTAAATTACATATTTATGCATATTTATATTTACATATATTCATTTATGTATATGATTCCGTGTGCCAGGCGCACACAAAATGCCACGCATGCATACATACAAACTGTGCATACTTATTGATTGAGTGCCGGGCAAATAATTCATCAGTGAATGCACACATTACATGCGTACATACATGCGCATATGTATTTTATATATTCGCACACCCACCCAGCCAAGCGGCAGATAAGCATATGCGATGGGTGAAAAATTACGCATACGTCACGTTCGCCAAACTGGCTGGCAAATAATTAACTGTGGCCAGCTCGCTGGTCCTTTCAGGCCAAATTTTATTGTGTATGCGAATTCATTGGATATCCATTCAATAATGTTTACCGTGTAAAATATGAAGCAGCAATTTGTATGTACATTATTTTTTTTTTAATTACGCGCCCGTTTAAGGTTCACTGCAAAAGTGGGGTAGGAAAGATGACAGCAGAATAAATAAAATTTATTTAATTGCGCAAGTTAAAATTTTGCAGACCAAAAGCCAAAGTGAAAGTTTTACACAGCGAAATCAATGTGGCCAAAAAGTAAACACTTTGAAATTGTACACTGACAGCAACGACGACGACGACGACGAGGGCGACAGCGACTGCAACTGTGACTCCGCTGCAGAACGTAACGAATTGCATACACACAAACCACCCAAAATCCCAATGGCCCACAGCTGCAACTAGCACACGTACGCCCCACTGCCCTACGATAACCACTCGACTATGAAATCAAAATGGATGATGGGCGAAATGAAAATGGAATTTTTAATGAGTTGGCGCAGGCAAAGGCCAAACGAACAAGCAAAACAATGGCGACGCTGCCTACGTGGGAGGCAGCTGCAGTTAAATGGGCGTGGCTGCCGGCTGACTGACTGACACAATGCTTGAAGGCAAAGTGAGATATATATTTGTAAACTATCCGCGGCTTAAATATTAAACAAATGAAAGCAATTATATTTATCTAAAAATGTAAACTTTTTGAAGGTATCACAACCAAACTAAAAAAACCTTTTAGGATAAATATAAGTTTTCGAACCACCTTAATGCCTATTTCTCTCTACTGGTAAGGGAGAATACATAATTTTATATCTGATATATAGCTACCCAACTCAACTCGTATTGCTGATCAATAAGGTATACACTTTGTAATATCCTCCTTATTCAATTGCTTCAAAGTAGGCTGCCATTCGTCTAAAACAATTTGATCCGTTTTGAACTTAATGTCTATTAATACTAACAAAATTTACAATTTTCAAGAATGGCTGAAGACTCTCAAAAGTCTGTGATAAGCCTGTCTCAGGTAAGCGAATGCTGGATGGACTATAATAGATCTTCAACTCAAGCAATTGACCAAATGTAATCAGTTTGTGGCAGCTATTGCTGTTGCCTTGTGCTCGTTCTGTGTTGGCTTTACGAATGGGTACACCTCACCGGCGCTGCCCTTGATGGAAGATCGATCTAAGACAAACTTTGAAGTTAGCCAACAGGCCGGTTCGTGGATAGGCGGCATAATGCCACTTGCTGGCTTAGTAGGCGGCGTTTGTGGGGGACCGCTAGTTATGTATGTGGGCAGAAGGTTAACAATTCTGCTGACATCGGTGCCCTTCATACTTTCTTGGCTGCTCATCGGATTCGCCACTTCGGTGTGGCTTGTGCTCAGTGGCCGCTTGATAGGCGGCCTAGCCGTGGGAGTGTCCTCACTAGCATTGCCCGTCTATCTGGGTGAGGCGCTGCATCCGTTGGTGCGCGGAACACTTGGTTTGATGCCCACGTTGCTTGGCAATCTTGCTCATGGTCTATACAGTTGGCACATTCACCACCTGGGCCCAGCTTGCTTTTGTGGGCGCCGGATGTTGTGTGCCCTTTCTCATTTTAATGTTATTTGTGCCAGAAACTCCACGTTGGTATCTTTCGCGTGGCAAACAAGAAAAGGCCGAGAAATCGTTGCAGTGGCTGCGGCGCAAGAATGCGGATGTGAATGCTGAGTTGCAAGGAATGGCAGGCACCTAGAGCGAGGATTCAGAAAACATCAAGGATACTTGTCGGGAATTGTGTAGTAAAAAGAATAGAAGACCTATTTTAATATCCCTCGGCCTGATGTTGATTCAACAGTTCAGCGGCATCAATGCAGTCATATTCTATACCGTCAAAATCTTTAAAGGTGCTGGCTCAACCATTGACAGCTATCTGTGTACCATTATTGTTGGACTGGTAAACTTTGTGGCCACTTTGATAGCCACATTGATTATAGATCGCGTGGGCAGAAAGGTGAGAGCTAGCTTAAATCTTATTCAAGTTGTTCAAACCCTGAAATGTAACAGGCAGAAGGAAGTATCTCCGACCACTTAAGAGTTAAGAGGAACTTACTCGACCAGTCTGTCCATCCGTCTATCTGTCCGTCTGAGTGAATATACATATACGCAAAATGTTTTTGAAAGTTTTAACATATAATAACATAAAACTACTCTTTGGTATTTACACACTTTTGGGCGTCATATTTATGCTCTGAAAATTCCAATGTAAAATGAAGAAGCACAGAAGGAAGCTTTTAGCTCAGCGCGGTTTTCAGGGTCTTTTTTGGTCGGGTCCACCCGAATAGAGGTTTCTAACTCATTTTTTTTTAATAATTACAAATTTATACGCAGATACTGCTTTACATCTCAGCTGTGACAATGATACTCACACTTTTTTTACTGGCCGTATTTTTCTATTGTAAGTATAAGGGAATGAAAACTTCAGAGTACGGCTGGATACCGTTGGTTTCTTGTGTGGTCTATGTGATGGGCTTCTCCGTGGGATTTGGTCCAATACCCTGGCTAATGATGGGCGAAATTCTACCATCACGCATTCGAGGCTTGGCCGCATCTATTGTCGTCGGCTTTAACTGGGCATGTGCCTTTATAGTGACAAAAACTTTTCAAGATATGATTGGTAACTTCGACATGACGTAGCTGCGATCATTTTAACTTAATAATTGCTGTGCAGATTCAATAGGCAGCCATGGTGCATTTGGAGTTTTTGGTAGTGTATGCATCCTCGGCTTACTGTTTGTTATATTTTTTGTGCCTGAAACAAAAAACAAAACGCTTGAAGAAATTGAAGCAGAGCTGACAGCATAAAAACTAAATTATTTTCGGAGTTCCAACCACATAACCTTAAAACTGTATATACATATTTACCTTATAATCATTACTGTATTTACTGCCAATCCGCATCGCAAACACATTTCAGGGTCACACATCTCCGCCGAGCACCGCATAAGAAGGGAATCCTCACCTCCAAAAGTCTCAATTTGAGTTTTTATACCCTGAACCCATTAAAAATGGGTACAATGGTATATTGTATTTGTGTGAAAGCCAAATGTATGTAACAGGCAGAATGAAGCATCTCCGACCCCATAAAGTATATATATTCTTGATCAGCATCAACAGCCGAGTCGATTTAGTCCGTCTGTCCGTCTGACCGTCTGTCCGTCTGTTTGTTTCTATGCGAACTAGTCCCTCAGTTTTAAAGCTATTTTAATGGAACTTTGCAGAACTCCCTCTTTCTGTTGCACGCAGCACATATGTCAAAACCAGCTGGATCGGACCACTCTATCATATAGCTGCCATAGGAACGATCGGTCGAAAATTAAGTTTTTGTATAGAAAACATTTTGTTTTTCAAGATATTTTGACCAAACTCGGCACATTAATTTTACTATGCTCCTCCTATATATAAAAAATCCTATTCAGATCGGACCACTATATCATATAGCTGCCATAAGAACGATCGGTCGAAAATTAAGTTTTTGTATAAAAAAACATTTTGTTTTTCAAGATATTTTGACCAAACTCGGCATTTATTAGTTTTACTTTACTCCTCATATATAGGCAAAATCATATTAAGATCGGACCACTATATCATATAGCTGCCATAGGAACGACTGGTCGAAAATTCAGTTATTGTATGGACAGATTTTTTGTTTTTAACGATATATTGACCAAACGCGGGAATTATTAGTTTAACCATGCTCCTTATATAAATACAAAATCCTATCATCATCGGACCACTATATCATATAACTGCCATAAGAACGATCGGTCGAAAACCAGATTTTTGATTAAAAACCTTTTTTGGCTATCAAGATATCTTGACCAAACTCGGTATTTACTATAATCCCGGTTCTTCTTAGATACGAGCGAAGCACTATGAGCATTATGAAAAGGTTGGGTCTGCAAGGGTGTTATATCTTCGGCGTGATGAAGATAGTCCTTCTTTCTCGTTTAATGATGCATTAAGATACACTAACATAGGCGGCCCCAACCCCATCCGAATCACCATCGCAAACCTCCACAGAGAAAACATCAAGATTTCATAGTTGAATCAAGTAAGCCCTGTCATAAAAGTACGGTAAGACCGGTAATACTTGATTCAAGTATGAAATTCTTATTTTAAGTAAAACTTTAAGTACGAAAACAGTTGAATCAAACTTTGTTTGTTACTTTTTGCAGCCTTATTACGTTGAATTTAAGAACGGAATAGTATTGAATAAAGTTTTCATGATTCTTAATATAAGAATCTTTATACAATCCCAGTTTGAGCTTGAAATAAGTTTATATAAATCTTGGTTTAAGAGCGCAAGAACTTAAATCGAACTGAATTCATGACCCAAAATACTTGTTTTAATCACATTTTGTTCAAGATTCTCTGATCATATTTCATGTGTACCTTAACCTTGGAATTAGATTAATTTAAGCTTGAAACAAGCTCCAATCCCTAACTAAAATAAAACCAAAGTGTGATTATTTTTTATTATACCCTTGCAGAGGGTATTTTAATTTTGTCGTGAAATGTGTAACACATAAAAGGAGGCATCTCCGACCCCATAAAGTATATATATTCTTGATCAGTATCAACAGCTGAGTCGATATAGGACATTCCGTCTGTCCGTATGTCTGTTTCTATGCGATCTAATCTATCAGTCTTAAAGCTATCTTTAGCAAACTTTGCAGAAGACCCTCTTTTTGGTACACTCAGTACACAGGTGGGAACAAGCTGGATCGTATAGCTGAATGATCGGTAGAAAATAAAGTTTTTGTATGAAATAGATTTTTGTTTATCAAGATATCTTGACCAAACTCGGCATTTAATAGTTTATATATCCTCGTATATATGTAAAACTCTATTTAGATCGGACCACTTTATCAGCTGACTAACTGATTGGTGACACAGCCCAAGCCGTAAGAGCTAGGAGGCTGAAATTTTCACTTTAGTGATAAAGGTGCACGTTAAGACGGGGTTTCATGAAATACCACCCGCAAGTATGGAAAAATCGGGAAAACCGCTTGTATGAAACTTTTTTGTTTACCATCCGATCGGCCTCAAACTAAATTTCAAGGCTCTTTGCTCAAATTCAGTTGAGGGGTGTTTCACACTTTTCCTAAAATGTATTCCTCCTTGATGGAAATGAGTGTCAAAGATTTAGTGGGTGACGTTTCGCGCTTAAATTAATTTCCAAGGATTCATAAGAAAAATCATCTGAGAGCTGTTTACATTTTTTGCAGAATTAAAGCATCCTCAGTAAAAAGTGCAATTCAAACAATTGTTTGATGATGTTTTAATTTTTTTCCGATTTGCTTCAAAATTATTTTTAAAGCTACGAATATCAGACAACTGTTTAGTTGTAGTGGACCTCACCAATATGCTGATATTAGGTTTTGATTTTTTTGTCCACTGTTGGTATGCTCAAATGGAAGTTTGGCAACTACGGTAAGTAAATATAAGATTATGTATCTACGGTCTTCGGGCACGGCAGTCACACCTCAAGCCCGAAATAGCTAGGGTCTCGTCTCTCTCTCGGGGGCCATTTGCCCTACGGCTTTTCTATGGGACCACCTCTTTCCATGTGGATCCTTTACGAAGGTTTCTTATTGAATTTGTATTAAGGATCGACAAAAGAAAACGTTTAGTAGCTTTGAACATTTCCGCCAGATGAGGAGCCAGCGGAACGAGCCCCACAAGCAAGCAATTTTATCAATTTCTGTTCATTTTAAAATACCCTGTGAAATTAAAAATTTTAAATAAATGAATAAACTTATATAGTGTTTATCACATTAATAGTCTCTCTATTAACTAATATTTAGGTTAAAGAAGTACAATATAGTGGGCATCTATTTCAAAGATCAAAAGAACGGCAAAATTGCTAACAAGTCTTCAAATCTCAATAATCAGGTTTAGTAAGATAATGCATAGTAGCTTTTAGTCGAGCACACTCGATTTATCGTTTTTTTTTTTTGCAATTTTTGCCAGCTCCATATTTTTCGCCATTCCTCGCATGTGCTACTGCTTGCATTTTATTACATTTAGGTCCAATAAAACTTGCCACCTTCCAACTTGCCATTTCCCTTTCAGACTTGTTTCTTAGTCTGTAGCTAAGCGCACGCACCGAATTCGCCAAGCTGCTTCAAAGACTTGGTAGAGAGATTGGAGGAGGAGCATTGCCGTTCGAGACGGAAGATGATGTTTTGTAGTACAAAGTTGAATCGTAAATAAATTTATGCCTGTGTTTTGTATGCGAGAACGTGATTTTGTCTGCGTCAACGGGAATGGAATTGAGGAAGTCCAAACTAAAATCATAATTCTAGAAAACGACGTTCAATAAAATGGAAAAATAGAAACAGAATAACTAAGAAATTGTGTTTTCATGCTCGCTGCGCATGGGAATCGTGCGCTTTGTTGTGTGTGGAGAAATTTGTGGCACTGTGGCATTGTGCCATTGTGCCAAAGAGCACTTGGCACTTTATGAGTCATTTTTAGCACAGCAGCGATCTGCAGCTGAGTTGCACAATACTAGCTAAACTAAGCACAACATGTGGATTGACACAGCAGCCTGCAGCTTTCTCCCAATCGAAAATGTAATAATCTCTATATATTAAACTGATCAACGTTGTCTCAAATTTGAAAAAAATAGCGGCTAACACATTCTAGTCGGATATATAGGGAAAATGGCTTTAACGAGTAAAAGCCCATCGCTACGAGACTGGCGTAGCCAAAAAATAGCTAAATAAAGAAAGCGCGATGTGTATTTTGCTATTTACGGTTGCCATTAGATAGCTGAAAACTTTGGCCCCGTCTTCTTTAAATGGCATTAAATTACGCGGCAAGCAAAGTTTGACAAAAGTTTAAGACTCCGAGTGGAAATCAGATACAGATGCGGATACAAAACGCACCCTGCTCGGGACTACTACGCCTGGGAATATAGAAATACGAATGCAAAATTGAGCTGGGCAGGCGGCCAGGCCAACTCCTGGCTACTATGCAAACTCAGACTGCACAGCATAGCGTGTGGCTGTCAATGAAATGAAATCAAGATAAACTACTCACAATATTTACTTTTAATTGGAGAAGTTCAAAGAATAAACAAATGCCAAAGAGGCGGCGTGAATAAACAACTTTTGTTTTAGCCACATCGATTGGCACTTGATTAAGACGGGGCCAAATTTTAGATAGTTTAGGTTAACACATTTTACGAGCTGCAATCCCTGCCCTGGATATTTAACGTCTCGCCAGCCAAAATTAAAATTCAGACAACAATTTTTACATTTTGTTGTCTGCCTTTCCCTTTTCAGCTTATTTTGTAGCTGAGACTGAGAGTCTAAAAAATGCAAACGAGACAAGTCTGCAGCTCGCTTTAATGTTTCTTGCTCTTTATTTATTTTGTTTTTGCTTTTTTTATTTTGCTTTTCCCTAAATGGTAATTAAAGTATGCCGAGAGATTCAGGCGGTCCGAGGTCAAATGCAATGAAAGTGAGCTCTTGTGGTGCACAACCGTCATCTAATGGCAAAGTGTGAAAAGGTCTTTTATATCAGCTCTTTCTCCCACTTCGATGCTGTCTGAATAATCTTTGCGGAGCTAGCTAGGGGTGTGGAAAGAGAATTTTAATTGGATGAGCAGAAACTGAACTTGTTTACCAGATGTTGAGCTCAACTGAACTGAAATGCTAAAGGAAAGAAATGTCTTAAATAGAAAACTTAACCACCTTTAATACCAATTTTTACACGGAAATATTCTAATTAAAGGTTTTGTCATATTTTGCCTTATTTTATATAATACTAGCGGGTATTGCCCGGTCTTGCCCGTGGAGCGTTTTGTGCTAAAAATGTAAGATATTTTCATTCCACTAAAAATATGTTTAAAGTGCATCGAATAAAGAACCGAATGTTGAAATCAGAGGTTTCCGCCTTGTTAGTCTTCACCAAAAAATCTTTAAATCGCATTTCTACCGAAGAAGTTTGGATTCTGCGATAAGTGTGAG